ATATATAACTTTGATATGTTATTAAATGAATTAATGAATACAATATCATAAATTTTAAATAAATAAAAATAATAAATTATTTAAATAACACATAAGTTTATAAAAAAATTGTTCTTATAATATTTTTCTTTTAATAATCTTCATTAATGGTACTAAAAAATTTAATAAAAAAATAAAGAAGTAGAATATTAAGAAAAATAATAAATAAACTAAAAAATTAATCATATATAAAAAAATACTATTTTATAATTTTAATTGTTTCAAATTATAAAATAGAAATCATTAAATGAGAAGATGGCTCCTAATATTAAAGGTCCCTGTTTCTATTTAAAAATTAATGTTTTATGGTTTTTTTTTTACAAGAAATGTTTTATGGTTTGAAACAAATTGAACTGCAAAATATTTTTTTTGTTAAAAAAATTAAAGGTAAAGATAATTATTTCATCTTAATTTCACTTTTCTTCCCTAAATATAATTATCTGGCTTGATATTAGACCTCAGAAAAAATCAAAACCAAGTATACATGAGTAGGGTATAGGTATGGATTAAGTATTTATATATATTTATTTAATTTGAAAATGTATAGTCTTAAAGTTTTGATAAACGATACTTAGATATTACAAATTTTATATTTCATTACCCAACGTGCTAAATATAGATACACCCACAAATATATTTATTGTACCATTAAATATTACATAGGAATTTTATTAACTATAGTTCATATATATGTCTTCGACTTTTGTTTCTTAAGCCATGTTCCACTACTAATTTTCCTTTTATATATATATAGAGATACTAAAAATACTTATTTTCCAATAAATATTTTTAAAAAATTAATTGTTAAATTTAATATTTTATTAATTTAAATTATACATGTTAATTTTAAAATTGATCTAATATCTATTATAATTTAAATAAAAAAACATGCATTTTTTAACATATATTTAATGATGTAAACTTTGCATAATCAATGAACTAATTAAATATATTCAATTAATTTAAAATTTAACATATATAGTCTATATAAATAAAATACTAAATCAAATAATTAATTTTTAGAAACTTTTATTAAAAATTGATGTTTTTGAAGTTGAAACTTTGAGAATTTAATTTTTTACAAAAAGTCAAGAGTGATATGTTATTGTCATATAATATATATATACACATAACTTTTATTCCATAAAAAAATTTATTTATTTATTTTTTATATAAAGTGTACATGGATGTAGGCGTAGTTCATTATGCCTTATATAAGACTCAATATTATTAACAAATATGTATTTTTTTATATTTAATATTTAACTATCTCTTTTTTTTTTTAAAGGTATTTAATTATTTCTTTTAAAATATAGATAAAACACAAACCCATTTAAATTGAGTACCCTCGAATATCATATGTACGAATATCCGATGCTCACCCCTAGAACCGTGCCTTCGCATTAAGCCTAATGCAAGGAATTTTGTTTCAATATCGTCCGATTTTGGGTCGGGAATGGACGGCGAGGTGGGTCCGGCTGCTGTAAAGCGGATTGGGGGAGAAAGTTTGCTTCCAATTCCAAATTGAACAACTGATGGCCGGTGTCAGGGTTAGACAAGCGGAGAAAAAATGGGTCTTGAAAGATCCACCAAAAGAAAATGTCTTTATTTACTGTACCAGCCTGAGAAAAATGGGCCCCTTGTATAGTTGAATTCTCCTCATCATGACCATGGTTAAACATGATCCAATTGGCCAACAGCGTTCGTAACCTGATGATAAAGGTTCAATAGTATGGTACTTTAATCTTGATTTCGAGCTCCATCATTAATGTTATTCCTCTACTCCCTTTTATAATTACCTAATTCCATAGGAAAAAAAAAAAGAGAGATCCAATTAAAACAATATAAATAATGTTACACTTAAAGCTGCTACTTCATTTACCAAAGGAAATTTTACCGGCGGGAGAAAAATGAGCCCCTCGTATGGTTGGGTGAAAAATGGGCCCCTTGTATGGTTGAGTCAAACGACCCTCATCTATAACTAGATGTAAACACCTGCACCTGCTACTTCATTCGCCAAAGCATCTTCAGTCTCCCCTACATTACTTTTTCTTCTTCTGATATTGAAAATTTCCACAATCTTACCACCATGCCTTATCCAATCATGCTCTTTAAGAAACCTTTGAAGCCCACTGATATCACCAAAAGGCTGGCTATCCCAACAAAGTGTCTCGATTTCCTTCCACACTTCAATGGAGGCCACGCTGTAAAATCGAACGTTTTGTATCAGGGAAGGGTTTGGCCGATGGTATGCAGCACTAGGAAACAGGGGCACAAAAAACCTGTTCTCTCTAATGGTTGGATTACCTTTGTTCGCGAGAACCACTTGAATGTTGGTGATGTAGTGGCCCTCTACAAGGAGGTAGATGAAACAGGATTGCAATATCGGATGGAGGTGTACAGGGCAACCAGGGTGCCTCCACCTAATGGAAATTTGGGGGTCGCAACGCCTTACAAGACTAAAAAGAAAACGGGATTCAAGATGTTCGGTAAAGCATTATTCAATAGTTCTAAGAAGATAAATTTAGGATTGGTCAACGGTCCAGAGGAAATTGTTCTGAATTTAGATTTGACTCTAGCACCACCAAGGAATATACCAAGCCAGAAAACACAGTAGAGAATCAAAGGCAATCAATATACTTTCTACTTTCTTTGTTTTTTCTTTTTCTTTTTCTTTTTTTTTTTTTAGGAATTTTGGAGAAAGAAGATCAATTTTATAAAGATTAGAATCAAAGTCTTGATATTGGTAAAACTATATTTTATGTAACATAGCTCTGCAGATGTTTTCTACTTTTTATCTTGTTTTGTTTTTAAGATGAGTTTCTAAAAGAGCTAGAAAGAGGCAGTCTATCACATTTACTTCTTTGGTAAGACTTTCTAGAAGAGTAAGAAACAATCACATATTTATGTTTAATGGTGAAGAAAGAGGTATTCACCGGGGCGCAAACTTACAACTTAAAGGGGTGACTCTCAACGACCAATAACCTTCGTTTTTGGAGTTTGTGTCTAATTTAGAGTTTAAACTTTTATTAGTCAAAATATTTTTCATGACGTATCCACATATAATGCGTATTTGTCTTTTCCCTTAAAGTTATGTTCTTATTATCTGAAGAAGAGCCTTCTGTCTAGACAGCAGGTTTCATCCTTTTTGTTTTTTTATAAGCAACATGTTTCATCTATCTAGTACTATAAAGAAAGAAAAGACAAACAAATTGTTGTGGGTCCACGACGGCCCAAGTCAAAAACAAAAAAGAAAGAAACTCGCGATATAACAGAGAATGAGGCGCGCGCACTCTGC